CTGCCAACGCATTGCCACACAGATAACAGCTGCCGCTGGTGTGTGTGTGTGTGTGTGTGTGTGTGTGTGTGTGTGTGTGTGTGTGTTTCCTCACTGGGAGGCTGCAAACTTTGAGGCATCAGTTCGGTTTATTTTGACCTGCAGAGGTAAACTTTGATATTGTGACTGGTGTAACTATGGAAACTATAAAACCACCCCACCCTGTGTTTACTATTTAACATCACTTCAGTGGGAACGTTGTTTCCCACAGATGTGGATCCTGTTTGTGGTGTTAGGGGAGGACATGTGTTCTTCAGTCAGTGATTAAAGTTTGCAGAGATTTTAATTGCTGATTTCTTTGCAACAAGTAAATAACAGGCCGACATCATCGGCTGCCTCCTTGCTGGACTGCAGGACTCCACCACGCTGCCCTGGTTCCAGGATATGTCAGGACAGCCGGTTTTGTTCGGTGCTCTCGGGACCTTCATTTGGTAGGGGCACAGGTCATCAAGCAGTGACCTCTGACCTGCACTTGGGTAGTTTACGTCAAAGTCAAACCGGCTGGAATGCACCTCCGAGGTTCTTGCCTGCTAAAGGGTTGAGTGGTGCTCGTGGTTTGGGTGGAGTTGCAAGTTTAGAGCTTCATGTGTGTCGAGATCTTGAAAAAGTCAAGAGAGGAGCAGAGGGGCAGTGAGGGGTCAGCGTCTGTTCCAGGCTGATGGTTTCTCTGGTTGACCTGTGTTTGTATCCATCAGCTGCACGTGCTGACAGCAGGATGTCTGCGCTCTCCCAGGAAGACGCAGGTAACCAGATTCAGCTGGTTGGTGGAGTCTCTCATCCTGCAGAGGAACTCAGTCTCGGACTGCAGCTGGTTGTCTTTGTTCCACTCTGCAGCCTCTGATTGGCTCATGAACCTGTTCTAATCTCTTCACATCAGCCCGAGCAAACCTCGAGCTTCCAGTGCAGAACAAAACTAGCACCACCAGCTGCAGCCCAAGAAGATGTCCCCTTTAAGTTCAGCCTACATTACTTTGTCCATGGATGGCACTACAGATGTTCTCCTGTCCCACAGTCTAAAATAAGCAGAGCTCCTGGTTTGGACGTCTCTCCTTTAGAAGGAAAAGCATCTGCTGTTCAGGCTTTATCTGCACCGAGACACGAGTCTCCCACTCAGTCCTGTCTGTTGCCAAACATTCGGTGTGTTATTTTAATGGAAGTCTTTAGTGAGTGTCGACTGACGCCGTGCAGGCAGACCTGCCAACGTCTCACAGAGCAGCAGCAGTTTATCTGATTGCTGAACAGGAAAGACTCGTGTTTGTCATGAATGTGTTTGCAGTAATATTACTAAACATATTAGACAAAACCGGATGAGGGAAGCTTTCTGTAAATCGATGAAGAGTTGCTTCTCGAGCCCCGGCTCGACAGTCTCGGTCGTTGTGTCCTTGGGCAAGACACTTTACCCACCGCCTACTGGTGTTGGCCAGAGGGGCCGATGGCGCGATATGGCAGCCTCGCTTCGTCGTCTGCCCCAGGGCAGCTGTGGCTACACCTGTAGCTGCCTCCACCAGTGTGTGAATGTGAGAGTGAATGAATAGTGGAATTGTAAAGCGCTTTGAGGGTCTCGAAAAAAGTGCTATATCAATGCAATTTATTATTATTATTATTATATCTGTGTGGCTTACAGGTGGGCGGTCTGCTCAGCTCAGTGGAGGATTTTTAATAGGAGGATATGATAAACTCTGTTACTGATGATCACGTTTCCCCCGGTTTATCTGAAAATGAGTGAATTTGCCCTTTAATGTCGCCCTCTCTGACTCAGGCAGCTGTTATCCGTGTCCAGAGTCGGTGGAGGTCCGGTGCACGTGCGGCTCGACGGTCCTTGTCGTCCCCTGTGGCCGCGAGAGGACCACCAAACCACCTCGCTGCAAGGAGGCCTGCAGGTAACCACACACACACACACCTGTGCTTTAGATCCTGAGGGCAAACCTGCAGTGAGGAGGTTAAAAGCGCATGTTTTCCTGCAGTCTTAAATAACAGTTCTGCAGTTATGCAACGTCTCCTGAGAGCTTTGATTAAAACGTGCCTGAGAGCCACAGCAGGTTATGCTTTAACTGAGTTTTAATTGTTTTTACTCCCTTGTTCGTCGTGCTCTGCTGTAACGAGGCCGATCGTTGACCCGTAATGAGCTGCTCCTGTTGGCTTTGGCTACGGGCAGAGAAGAAAAGCAGGAATCAGAAAGGTCTCACTAAAGTTTCATCTGCTGTCCTCAGGTGTCCTCCGTCCTGCCACCACCCGACCCGAGAGGCTCACCGCTGCCACCCCGGCACCTGCCCCCCCTGCAAGCAGCCCTGCCTGCTGCCGCTGCCCAGCTGCAGCCACACCTGCCCGCAGCCCTGCCACGACGTGGTGCTGGTCAAGTCCCAGCAGGTAAAGGACCACCTCAGGTCCTCTTGTTTCTCTGGGATCTGTGCTGATCCCAGGCTGTGTGATAAGAGAGGAAAATGATGCGCAGCCTGCTGACGAGGTGCAGGCAGCAGCTGTGGCTTCAGATGCTTTTACTCTGAAAGCGCTGAGACTATTTTATTTTCCAGATTCTTTGTGTTAAATAGAATCAATCACCAGAATCATTTCAGAGCTTTAAAAGTGAATAAAGTGAATTAAACGAATAAAAAACAACGACTGCTTTACTGGAAAGTAACTAAATACTTTATTACTTCCATTTCCTGTTTCTTATACAGTCAGATTTAGCAGGAAGTTTCACTTTGTGTGACACTGCACGTGTATCGTGGTTTAGATGGTTAGTATGAAATATAATTCATAAATCTGAGTGCGTCTTTAATAATCTGCAGATGTTCTCAGAGTTTTGGTGCTTAAAGCTGATGCTGAAGTACTTTTTATTCAGATCTGGATGCCGTGGACTCGAGCGCATACTCCTGTGTGTTTGCGAGCGCCGTTGTCAAACATCTTATCGACATCATGAGCCCCATAAAGCAGGAAATGTCCCGTTTCCTCTCAGACAGAAAACACAGGACAAAGTCTTTGTGTTGCTGCACCAACAAGTTTTTTCTCCTTGTGGTTTAGGTTCACTTAGCCGGACCGTGGGAGCAGCCGTCTGAGCCCGCGTTTGTCAAGAAGGCTCTACCCTGCCCGCCATGCCAAGTCCCCCTACCGACGTAAGACACACACAAGACACACACACACACAACACACACACCAACACACTTTCTTCTTGATCACAGCAGCAGGTAGACGTGAGCTCTAACACAGAGCAGTCTGCAGACACCTACAAAACAGGATTAGTGGTTGTTGAGTTCACACCTATCCTACTCCAGTGTAGGTCGTACTTTAGATAAGAGGTTAACAGGTATGACATCAGCACCTACTGACCAATCAGATCTATGGAAAATAGCATCACCATTTCTGGAAGATCCCTGAGATTGTAGCTGGTCAGAGACGGTTAGGAGGGATCTTACCCTGGTTTTTCTGTTCGTCAGACTGTTTGAAAACATCTTAATGTCGTACAAGTTTAAACTGGTTATGTTATCCTAAGCAGCATCACACAGACCTAGAGACCTGTCAGGCATCCATGACAACCAGCAGTCGCTCGAGGAAAGCGTATATTCCCGACGTCAATCTCTTTGTGAATGAAAGTTGGAATGACTGGTTGCTGGACTTTACTGGCCGGTGCTTCAGTCTGTTTAACGACAGCTCTTCATTCACGTCTATTTCACACATGCTAACTCTTTTAAATGGAGTTTGTAATTGACAACCAGCGTCATGTCACAGTAAAAGAGCCCCGATAACAGAAAGATGTCCTGGATACGTTGAACCTGCTTCATAGTGTATGCTTCCCGCCAACATGTGAACCTGGTCTCAGAAAAGTGTTTTTCCTTTTAGGATTGAGCCGCATGTCCATGAAAGGCAAACATTTGCTGCAGAGCGGTGAAGAAAGCGCGGTCACATGTTTCTGATCAGCATCGCCAAAGAAGCAAACGTGGATCGGTTTACTTTTCAGAACGTTGAACATGTGCAGAACCAGAAAATCAAAGTGTTTCTGTGCCGGGGCGAGCGCACAGTGCTTCACATTTCCTTAAATTAGATTTCAATGAATATGTAAAACATGATGTAACGCGCCGG